CACCGTAGCCACACAAGTATCCAAAAATAAATCCCACAATATTTTTTTTTACCAGAAATCAAAACTACCCCTTTCATTCCCTAATTCGTTCTCCTATTTCGTTCTTCCTCACCTCCGGAGAGCTTCGCCTCTTCTGGCGTCAGCGGATGATAGTGCTGCTAGGTACTGGCGCACCTTTTCCCTACAGAACGCCGCAATCTCTCGGTTTTCATCGTCGCCCAAATTGTCGGAATTGACGACCTCAAATTTCTGCCGTCCCTCCATCGGCCTGTATATCTCGTGCTGCACATAAATAATATCCCACGACATGTCTCGGGATAACTCCTCCCAACCCTCAAAATATGCCGCCAGGCACTCAGTGAACCGCCTCACAGTGCTGGTTGTGGTGCGGTGCTTACTTGCCGTAGACATCCGCAGCCCAACCAGCGTCTTCGGATTTGTGTCCACAAAGAAAAAGCCGTCCACCAGCGGAAAGTTTTTGACTTTAGGCTCATACAGCACCCAGTGGTCCATAGCAACCGGATTGGAAAGACGTTCGGGTGGCGGTAGAACCTCTTTTCTGGTGAAGCTCTTGTCTGAGTGCTCTTTCAGCGCACACCTGTGTGACTCACCTCGTCCTGGTAGCCTCAGTTCCTTGATTCTAAGTCTTATCGCACGCAGTAAATTCTTGTTCAAAAACGCAGATACGGCATACTTTTCAATGAGATATGGTGGGACATAATCCCAGAACCTCAAAACAAGCAAAATAAAATCGGACTGCTTCATTTCATTCTCCAGCCGGGACAATGTTTCGCGTTCGACGTGGGGAGATATCAGTACATTCAGAGGCGACTCAATGTTGTATTCTCGTCGTATTCGGACAACCTTCACAAGCTTTCGAGACAAGTCGCTGTCATTGGACAAACAACAATATCCAATATCCAAGTAACCCTCGAATTTCAAGGCGTTCATCCCATCCACGGCTTGTTGACACGCCTTAATGCGGTCATCATATGCCTGTTTACCAAAGATGGAGCGGAGAATTGGTCCCACGTTATTCATGCGACCCCTCACCTCCTTCCAGTATTCCGCTTGCTCCTGCGGAATCTGATTGCGCTTCATCCAAGAGCACATTGCCTTCACATCGTTTTCTTCGGGACAATTAATTATGAATTCTTCCGCTCCCATTTGCTTCGCCCACCATTCGTAGTTGTTTTTGTCTGGTGGTGTCACCACAATCATGCCCCATCCCTTGCAAGGCAAACCAATAGACGGTTGATGACCCTTCAATGCCACGTCGTAGATAATATACCCCTTAAACCCACGCCGAGCGAAGCCACCCACAATATTCAGGATACTGGCCCTCACCATGTACACTGACACCGTTTTTTGCGATTTTGGTCAACAGAAATGTTCG